TGGGGTGGGGGGACGGAGGGGAGGGGAGGGGAGTTTTAGGTGCTATCTCCGCGATGGAGTGTTTCGATTCCTACGATGCTTCTTCCGGCTAGTGACCTTTCGTATCTCAGTCGGTGATCCCCTGACCTTTCGTCTCTCTAGGTCTGAAGACCATCGTTGGTGCCCTCATCCAGTCTGTTAGGAAACTCGCGGACGTGATGATCTTGACGGTTTTCTGCCTGAGTGTGTTTGCCCTCATCGGCCTTCAGCTCTTCATGGGAAACTTGAGAAACAAGTGCATCAGAGACTACATCGAGTTCAACACTACCAACGGCACCTTCGCTTCAGAACACAAGACCTGGCAAACCTTGGATGACTTTCTCAACGATAAAGGTAAACACCTCTCCTTTCCATGTTGGTTGATACACTGTGCCTGAATACATGAATATGGGAGGATTCAAAACACACGGACGCACACGGTCGATAGACGGCCATGAGGTCTCTACTGAGAAATCCCTAACGTTGCAAGCAATAATATAAAAGGCAAGTGATATTTTCATTTTGTTTGAAAAGAAACCTGGAGGGCCTGGTGGCCAAAGGTGCTTTCTTTGAGCTTCATATAGTACACAGGTGAAGCGACGCTCCCTCTAAGCTGTGGAGTCTTGTGAGCAAAAATTCTACTTTTGTGAGCTACTGGCATTAAAGCGACATGGCTACTGCACACATTAGTTTGCTCTGGAGCCATCCTTCCTGAGCGAAGACAAAAATGCGTGAGCCGGAGGTTAAAAAACTGTGAGCTAGCTCACACTAAATCAGCTTAGAGGGAACACCGCAGGTGAGCCTTTTTTTCTAGGCTCAACCCATGCTGATCCACACGACAGTGATTTTGAGGCTAGACTACTGTAATGCCATTTACGTGGGGCTGGCCTTGAAGACACCCTGGAAACTTAAGTTGGTGGAAAGCCTCTATTCCGATACTGTGCCTGTCCCAGGATTGCTGTCCTGGTTGACGAGTTGTTGAGTTCAGTTCAAAGTGCAGGGACCCGCCTACTCAAAAGAACATCTCTCCCAATGCAAGCTCCTGCTTCAGATCTGATTTTTCTGGTCACGCCCTTCTGTCCGTCTCCGCTTGCAAGCCCATGACTCCTCCCACCCCTTGTTGTCAAGACTCCTCTGAAGTAGCCCCTGGACTGCAGAATGCCCTTCCTGAATGGGAGGCAGAGCTGTTCAGTTCAGAGATCAGTTCACCTGGAGAAAATGGCCACTTTGGAAGGTGGACTCTGTGGCATTATGCCCATTGAAGACCCTCCCCTCCCAAACCCCACCCTCTTCAGGCTCCCTCCCCCAAATCTCCAAGTATTTCCCAACCTGGAACTGGCAGCCCTAGTCCGTGAGACATGTGATGAGCTCCCAAGGAAGAAGAAGAAGAAGAAGAAGAAGAAGAAGAAGAAGAAGAAGAAGAAGAAGAAGAAGAAGAAGAAGAAGAAGAGGAGGAGGAGGAGGAGGA